CCACCGCACCTAGACATGTGCAGTGTGAAAACGCTGTTTTTAGCGTTTTGAAAACGCACAAGCTGCTAAAACGCAGTTTACCCAAACAGACCAAGTGCGTTTTCAAAACACCACCGTACCAAATAAGTTGCCCCAAATGGACCCTAAGGTCTCTTTGGGGCAGCTACAACTTATTGAATGATATGCTGCTAAGCTAGGTGCGGTGACTATTACAATTTTTTTTTTTTATGTAAAAGTCAGACCGTTGCCAGAAAGCTGCCACCGCACCTAGATAGGTGCGGTGTGAAAATGCTGCTTCCAGCATTTTCAAAACACATAAGCTACCAACCAGAGACCACGAAACACAATTTACCCAAACAATCTAGGTGCATTTTCAAAATGCCACCATTTCTAATAAGCCTAAAGGGACCTTAAAGGTCCGTTTGGGACAGCTGCAGCTTATTGAATAATTTGTTGATAAGTTGATTAAAAATAATCTGTCGAAATGCTAGTGCTAGGTGCGGTGGCTACTACAAATTTTTATTTTATTTTTTAAATCAAACCGCAGTTAGAAAACTACCACCGCACCTAGACAAGTGCTGTGTGAAAACGCTGTTTTTAGCGTTTTGAAAACACACAAGCTGCCAAAACGTAGTTTACCCAAACAGGTCAGGTGTGTTTTCAACACGCCATCACATCAAATAAGCTGCCTCAAACGGACCCTAAATTTTCTACTTAAGAAGCGTGAATAAATTTAATAAAACTACCACCGCACCTAGACAAGTGCGGTGTGAAAACGCTGTTTTCAGCGTTTTGAAAACACATAAGCTGTCAAAACGTAGTTTACCCAAACATGTCATGTGTGTTTTCAACACGCCACCACATCAAATAAGCTGCTCCAAACGGACTCTAAATTTTCTACTTAAGAAGCGTGAATAAATTTAAAAGCGAACAAAGTAACTTTAAAGATTTATTTGAAGTTTTTTATGGACCATTATTTATGTTTAGTTCTTGATTGATTATTTTGCCTCTTAAAATGTGCATAAACATAAAAGAACAACGTATAAACCTGCTTTAGTTGATGAACGGGTTCATAGCCTTTTGAGTTACATATGAAAAATAAATGATCATATTTAAGAGTCACATAACTTCAACTTAGTGGCTAAATTGTACTCCAAAGTCCTAAAATAAAAAGTCTAACACAACTTAATATCATAATTTTATAGTAAGAAATGGTTTATAAGTTTAATAGGAGAAAATATTACGTCTGGCGGTGCAATAGATCATGTGAATTTCACCACATCGCAGAACACAAAATATGATGTGATCCACGCTGTCGGTTGTACGTTCCGACGATAGACATAATTTTTGGATTAATACAGTCTAACCTTTATAAACTTTCAATGGTGTTAAAACTATGCTCTTTGCATTTTATTGCTTAGGCTTGAGTTACTAAATTTAGCAGTGATTCTCACCTTAATTTTTAAAATTTGAGGTTAATCATCTCTTATATTGAAAATACTCAATTTTTAATTTTTTTAATATAAATCTCTAATTTCTAATATAGTGATTAATTTAATGATAAATTATAAAAATTTAAAGCACTAAAATTGAATATAATATAATTTAGAGTAATTTCAAGTTTCTCAGAATCTAATTATCTCTATTTTTCTTAATCAAATTCCTTTAAAAATTTATTCAAAATTTAAACTAGTCCCTTTTAAAATTCCAAAAGCATGCCCATGATTCAAATTTTAAAATCATAAGAACATTTGTTGAGGTTATGGAGACTGCACTTATGGAAACTATTTGAAATTTATTTCAAATATTATTTCTTTCCTTTTGAAAAAGCCGCATCCTGTAATTTCCTTCTCCAGCAATGCTATTGAAGATTTCCTTTATGGGTTTTTTTCCTTATATGGGCCAAAAAATTGATCTATTTTTTTGAAATTGAAGCAGCAAAGCTTATGTGCTCCATTGGAAGTCCTTTTGGCTAAAGCTTTTGGTAGCAGGGAAAATTGCATGCATTGTTCTTCCCTTGCCTTCTTCTTCTCACGTGACTCAAGAGAGAGAAGAGAGAAGAGAGAAGAGAGAAGAGGGGCAGAGCTTTTCTTGTAATCATCGACGTGATCGACGGGTGTAATTCTCAAAGTAATAAAATCTTCAGCAACTCTGTGGACTATTTCTGTTTTGCGAATTTCTTGTTCCAATTTTTTTTTGCTTTATTACCGTCGATTTTTCACAACAACTTATATCAGAGTCGTGGTTTCGGATCTAAAGAAGAACGATGGTCGGAGACGAAGTGATGGCAGCAGCTATCGAGAAATTTAATGACACAGATTTTTGTTACTAAAGGATGCAGATAGAAGACTATTTCTATGGGAAGAAACTTTATTTTCCATTACTGTGAAAGCGACTGGAAAAATGGATGAGGTTAATTGGAATCTATTGAATCGATAAGTTCTGTGGTTATTCGATTAACCATGTTTAGATTTGTTTCCCACAACATTATAAAGGAAACGACTACTGCAGATCTCATGATGGATTTATCAGGTATGTATGAAAAATTATCCGCAAATAACAAAGTGCATTTGATGGAAAAAGATATTCAACTTTAAGACGGTGAAAAGTATGTCTGTTACTCTGCATTTGAATGATTTCAATATCATCACAAATCAATTGTCGTCTGTCAAAATTGATTTTGATAATGAGATACGTGCGCTGATATTGTTGGTTTCATTGCAAAATAGTTGGTAACCCATGAGGATAACAGTTAGCAATTTCGTAGGTAAATCTAAATTGAAATATAATGATATTCGTGATTTGATTTTGGTTGAGGAGGTGCGCAGGAAAGATTATGCCGACACCTCTGATTCGAGTTTAGCATTAAATGTTGATTCCAGAAGAATATCACAATGCAAGAACTCAAATAGAGGAGGATCAAAATCAAAACACAGAGATAGGAGCAAATCAAGGCTGGTCAGAAAGTAACTTGCTTAAATTGTGACAAAACTGACTACATAAAAAAGAACTGCATAAATCCCAAGAAGACACGGAATGATAGCACTAATGTTGTAATTAAAGAAATACATGCACTACTGCTGGCAGTTCACAGTTTTGTTGATAACTGGATACTGGATATACAGATTTTCTTCCATATATCTTTCTACCGGGAGTTAATGTTTAATTATGTTGTAGGTGACTTTAGGAATATATATATGGATGATGGAAAAGCTCTTGACATGGTGGGGATGAGAAATGTTGATATTGCACTCCCTAACAAGAGCAAATAGACTTTGCAAAAGGCCAGACATATTCCTGAGTTGAAGAAAAACCTCAGTTTTGTTATGCAGCTCAATGAGGGTGGTCATTCAGTTGTGTTCTCAGATAGCAACTTGAAGGTCACTAAAGGAGCACTATTACTCGCTTGGGGTAAGAAAACTGGTACATTGTATATGACTTTGCTCTGCTTCATGGTCAGCTACTATTTGCTCGAATTTGCAAGGTTTCTTCATAACTATGTAGTTCCTCATCATCTGTCAGCTCCTTCTCTGTTGGGAAATCAAACATGAGAGCTAACAGAACTTCCACCAGAGAAGAAATTATTGCACAACAAATGGGCGTACCAGGTGAAGGCTGGGCTTGATGGCAGTAAGAGGTACAAAGTTAAACTTGTTATCAACAGAGGCAGAATATTACCCATATAGTGAGAGTTATAAGCAAATACATTAGTAACCCAGGAAAGAACTTGTAGTTACAAAGATAGATTCCCTGCTGGGAAATCAGACATGAGAGCTAACAGAACTTCCACCAGGGAAGAAATTATTGCACAACAAGTGGGCGTACCAGGTGAAGGCTGGGCTTGATGGCAGTAAGAGGTACAATGTTAAACTTGTTGAAAAAGACTATCAACAGAGGCAGGAGCCCATACAGTGAGAGTTCTAAGCAAATACACGAGTAACCCAGGAAAGAGCTTGTAGTTACAAAGCTATGTTAATGTTAATATGTCAACTAAGGATGTTACTCTCGAGAAAATGAAGTTGTGCTCGACTTCAGTTGGTATTAAAGTGTGAAGACAATAAGCTTTGAGTTGCAGAGATGGAAGATATCACGTTTGAAGAAAAAGACGACATGGCCAGTGGATGATGCAGTCAGCGTCTTGTCTTCAAGTGAGAGATTTGTTGAGATTGTGGAGACTGCACTTATGGAAACTATTTGAAATTTATTTCAAATATTATTTCTTTCCATTTGAAAGCCACATCCTGCAATTTCCTTCTCTAGCAATGCAATTGAAGATTTCCTTAATGAATTTTTTCCTTGTATGGGCTAAAACATTGATCTATTTATTTGGAATTGCGGCAGCAAAGCTTATGTGCTCCACCGGAAGTCCTTTCAGCTGAAGTTTTCGAGAGAGGGAAAATCGGAGGCAAAATGCAAAAATTGCATGCATTGTTGTATTCCTTGCTCCTCACGTGGCTCAAGAGAAAGGAGAGAGAAGAGAGGGAGAGTCTTTGTTGTAAGCATTAACGTGATCGCCGATGTAATCCTCAAAATAATAAAATCCTCCATAACTTCATAAACATATGCAATTTGCTAAACCACGTAAATCTGCGTGATAAAATCCTCCATAACTTCGTAAACATATGCAATTTGCTAAATCACGTAAATTTGTGTTTCATTTTGTTTTTATTTTGCGAATTTCTCGTTCTAATTTTTTGCTTCATTGTCGTTAGTTTTTCACAGCAATTTAAAACTTTTAATTAATTTTACTCAAGATTTTTTTTTTTGAAATGAAATTAATCATAAAAGCTTACCCTTATTTAAAACATAACAAAAAAAAAGGATCTATTTTTTCCACATGAATTACACAGGAATTGAAATTGAAAACTACTATGCCGCTAGGCAATGTTTTTCAAAACCCTATTTTCTGTAATTGAAATTTTGAGAAGATATATTATTATTCACATCATATTCAATCCAAAAAATAATAATAAATATTTCTTTGAAGGCTACTATTCCCGTAGTCCAACTCTAATATTTGTTTGGTATGTATTTCCTTTCTATGTATTTCAAATCATTTCAATACAATTAAAGTTTTTAAGCTCTCCAAACACAAGCACAAGCCAAAGAAGCTCCCAACAATCCTTTTCTCCTCTCTTCTAATTCCTCCACTCCCTTAACCCATCCCCATCAAGTATCCCATATCATAACAACAGCAATAACACCAACTCCCACAGTCACAGCCATCCACCGAGTAAGAGGTGTATCTGCGGCGATAGGCCGAAGCGGCTTATAGCCCTTGGAAAGAAGATGATTTATAGAAACATAAATGAAGACTCCACAAGCGAGTCCCATTGAAATGGCATAAATCCAATCCGCCACACGGCCTTCTGTCGTCGCATCTATGATTATGCCTATCGCCACGCCGACAGGACTAGAAATGGCGAATGCGAAGGAGTAAGCTGTGCAAGAGAGTAACGGGCGATTCGGCATCATGCCAAGGAGAGCTATGCCCATTGCAATGGCTGCAAATATCTTGTGGAGGCATACAGTCCACAGTGCTTTCCATGCATCTGCTTTGTTTTCTGCATCATTCATGTTAAGCTCAGTGCTGCAAAGTAGTTATTTTGCAATGCGCTTTAGGTTCATTTAGGATTGATTTCTTTGCTCAATTTATAAATTCTTGTTCTTGTTCTCATAGAAAATGACTAATTTAAAATACCTAAAAAAATATATGTGGGGGTGTTGAATTCAAACCTACACCACTTACTACAATAAAAAACGTAAAACTATATTACCACATGAACGATGATAATTTAAACTTAAATAAAAATATATACATATAATATATTGTTCCTTATTTCAAGCTAAAAACGAGCCAAACACGATTGATCAAATGATTGTTTGTGTTCGGCTCGTTTATAATTCGAGTTTAAAAAATTTGTTCGTGTTTGGCTAGCTTAACCAATGATTTAAGAGCTACTTAAAAAAGCCAAACACGAGTTGTTCACAAAAAAGGAGCTTTTTTTGTCGGTCCTACTCTGAATCATGGATATCTTACCTGCTACACCAATTGCAATTCCCTCAAAAACGGAATGAAAACACAAAGCCACAATCAACAAAATATTATCTCCCAGTGAAGCAGCCTCATAGAGTCCAGACTTCACAGATTGGCCATGAGCATGTACTCCACCATCCTGCAGGAGAACACCATCAGACAAGAAAATTTTGGTAAATTCTATGAAAATTCATTATAACGATTTTTGCAATCAAGTAATTGAATTTTAGTATTTTAAACTATAATCTTATTTGTGTTTAAGGGGTTGTTCGGTTTTTAGGTAGGATTTAGTTTAAACGGGATTTAGTAAATCCTGTAAATCCGAATTTATCAAATCATGGAGTGACTAAATCCCAAAA